CACCTGCCATCTCCCTTCCCACTACTCCAGGCCCAAGGAGGCAGTTCGGATTTTCAGGAATGTCCTGGCTGGCTGCCCCAGTGCCGCAGGGCCCTGGGGGAAAGGCTCCGGGCTGGAACGTCCTTACTTCCTCATAGCAATGCCAAAGCCCAAACTTCGCAGATCCTGAACACAATGGCTCGTTAGCTCCCTGGCGCTTATTATTTCTGACTGAGAGGTGAATAAAAGGCTTTTTAAACTTAAAACTGAGATGTAGATTAAAGGGAACGGTTGTCTGGGTGTGCTGAATTACTTTAACTTCAGAAGATACAAAAGAAAGTCCTCAAAAGTAGAAAGTCATGCAGTATGTTACTGATACAAACTAACAAAAAGTAACTTTCTATGATAACTTGTTTTCCATTATACTCAACCATTAAATGAGTGTTGAGAAACCATGCTGCCAATTATAAAACCTGTAGTTCTAAACTGTAGAGAGAATCTTAAAATAGACTTTGGTCCAAAAAACTGATAGCAAGCTTTATCACAGTAAAAGAACACTATCCTCTTAGAACTCTAACTTCATTTCTTCCAAATAAAAAATGTGACAAATACTTTTCTGTTTTGAAATTGCTAAAAAATAAAGAAATAATAAAAATAAAAAATAAAACATCTCCATAAAATTGCTAAAAATCAGTTTTCTTTCATTTAAATTCTCAAGATTTTAAAATAAAAATTTAAGTAGCTGTGGCTAGGTAATACTTTTGTTGTTCAGTAAGAAAGTTTTTTGAACTGTTTTCTCGTTTTGGCCATGCTGGAGATCAGACACAGGGCCTCACACACGCCAGATGAGCCCTGCATCACTAAGCTACATGCCCAGCCTAGCAAAAACATTTTATCAAGAGCTATCATTTCTTTCCTGCTCAGCTACCAATGAAAGAGTCCCAGGAACAGAAAGCTTCTATGAGCAAGGCTACTGTGGAGCAGCAGGCACAGGAGAAAGAGGACTTGGAGGTGGAAGAATGGTCTCTCCAGCAGGCCAGCCCAGAGCTGGACAGAGTCCCCTCCTCACTCCCACTCCAGAGCAGGTCGTATAGAAGGCCCAGTTCCGTGTGGCCTCATGGGCTTGCACAGGTAGCGTGGGAAGAAAGCCCTGCAGTGACTGGCCACGTGAGAACCTGAGGCCCTTCCTCAAGGACTCTGCCCCACGTCAGCTTAGCAGCGGAGGCCAGATCAGTCTGGCTGTTCACCAGCCAGGACCAGTGGAGGCACAATGCGAGATACATTTGATAATGTAAGGAGAAAGCATAACATTTAAAAAATAGAATAGCACTCACTCCTGCCCTATGGCACATCCTTTATATGTGCCGACAACAAGCACACCCCTGGATGCTTGAGTTTACCAGAAGGTCTGTCCTCTGGCTTCCCAGGATGATCGCTCAACTTTGGGAAGTCAGCTGCTGGTCCCCAGAGCACACCATAAAAAGTCAAGCTAAAACCATCCAAAGGCAAAGGGAAACCTGCTTATAGTAAAGTCTGAGTATTTCAACAAAGCACTATTTAAATTACCCTTTTTAGAATAAAAATGATGGCTGCTCACCATACATACATATATTAATAAAATATACATACGTAATAAGTCATACATGCTTAAGGACATTACTACCAAGGCATCTACTTTAGTTGCAGTATTCAAATTTTGAAACAGTTTAGATACCAAAGAATTAAAGACTGGCTGAATAAACATATATATATGCATATGCATATTTATATAGCAGAATATCATACAGACATTAAAATGGTGCTATATAAGAACATTCAAAGATATAGAACACATCTATAACACATTACATAAGAAGGTTATAAAATATTATACCACGTTTGTGGAAACTATAAACAAATGCCTAAAGGGCTATAATAATACAGTGCTCCTACTAGGAGATGGAATTCACTGTAAAAGGGCTTTTCCTTTCTAGGAAGAAAGGCTGTAAGTTTTCTAAGTTCACAAAAGCAATCATGTGTCTTTATAATGATAAATGTGTAACACATGCTACATGTTTAGAACACCGCACAGCCAGGTGTGGTGGCACACACCTGTAATCCCAGGTGGCTGAGGTAGGATGATCACAAACCTACTCTGGGCAACTTAGCAAAACCCTGTTTCTAAATAAAAAGTAAAGAGGTCTGGGATGTGAGCCAGGGAGAAGGCCCTGGGTTCACTCCCTTGTACAAAATGAAAGAATAAAATAAGATAGCCACATACTGCTGGGAGGTGGGCCTCAGAGAAGGACACCTACACCACAGTAAGACCCACCGATACCCTCATCCCTGACTGAAGAAGGAATAGGGTTTAATATGTTCAGCCCAGTGGGACATGCTGCAGGGGATCTCCACATGTCCTCTGGGACACGGCGGAAGCTGGCAGGCTGACCTCAGGCGGGGTCAGGTGGATACAACACAGCCCCAGAATCCCCTGCGCAGCCTGCACTTAGCTGGAGCTAGGTGAGCCATTAGAAAAACAAAAAGTCTGTCTCTAACCGATGCTTCTAGTATTCAGACTTCTAGAAAAACCCCCTTGAGGGGTGGGGAGATATTTTCATAAGAGCACAGGAAGAGGAAAAAAAGGGGGAAACTGCACAGGTTTGTACATGTGATTCCTGCATCATAGTGGAATGAAATGTTGAGCTGCAGCAGTGAATGCATTTGATAGTCTCAGCTGGTCTCTGAAAAATTTTATAGGGCACACATGGTAGTTCAGAAATACTACAGGATTTAAAATTTACTTACTGTCACCACAGAACAGTTGAACCAAATGGAATTTAACAGTGTTCATATAAAGAGAAATACAAAACATTAAGATAAAGCCTAAGGCTGGGTGTTAGAACTAACCCAGCTTTCCTTGTTTACAGTTCTTACAAATAAGTATAAAATGGGCTAGAAATGCCACACCTGGGGAGAAGGAGGAACTGCCTAAGTGTTCCAGCCTTTGTTTCTGCCCCTCTTGGGAACGTCACACCCTGAGTTAGGATGGCCCAGACACTGTTCCTCTCTCACTTGAAAGCTTATAGTCCAGTAAATTACATGGCTCTTAGGTCTGTAATCCCCAGCATTCTGGGGTCCCTCAGATGAAGTAGAAGTGAGGCATGCTCAATCCTGACTGTCAGTGCTGGGCAACCTTACCAAGCCCAGCCCCTCCCCCATCCCCAGGGTTCCAAGGATTCTAGTCTTCTGTCGCTTGCTGCCACCAAACTGCAATAATCTACTTCATGTATCTCGCTGTGCATGAGTGCATTCTATCTCCCTGTGCTCAGATCAGAGGTAACTGACACGTACTGAACCTGCTCCCACTCCACAGTACTCTTGATCAAACTGTCTTTGAACCCTTAGTTTCCTCCCAACCAAATGGAGGCAACACTAATACTGATGTGACAAGATGATCTATTGTAAATTTAGATCACGGTTTATTTTTGCCATGGCAGATGATCAGAAAGAAGTACTTAATCACAGCCCAATGACAGGAGGGAACCTAGAATCAGATTTAATGTGATTTTAGAAATGATAGGTGCCATTCATACCAAGAATGGTGAGAGAGACACACATACTTTCTTCATAGGTTTAGCATACATATTAAATTAAACTATGGCTATCATAAAGTAATGTCAATTTCCACATGATGAGAATTACTATGATTAAAATTCTATTCCCTTCACACAATATGACAGAGACCTACAAGGCCTGGGCCGCTGTCCCGGTCCTAACTCCATGTAGCAGCTGGGAACACATCTTTCTCGTCTGTGAGCAGGCACACACTCCTTGCCTTACCTTGTTACACAAGGTTATTGGGCATCTCGATGGGGCTGGTGAGATGGCTCAGTGGTCTAAAGCACCTACTTAGAACAAGCTTAGCACAGGGACTGCAGTTCAATCCCCCAGCACCACATGCCAGCCAGCCCCGCCCCCAGGTGGGCTGAGCTGGCCACACACACAATAATAAATCAAATAAATAAACTTAAAAAAAAAAAACAAGGTTATTGTGCATCTCGAGATGTTGCCATGAAAGGGCTCTGGAGGGTTTTAGACAAGGACACCACAGACCAAAGTTACCCATCGCCTTACAGTACCATTCTGTACCATACAGAATTTTGAGCTTCAAGCTCTGAATGTACAGATTAAACTCATTGATTAGCTGGTCTTATTACAGAAATACTGTACGTCAGAAACAAAAAATTCTGAATAAGCCAATCGTCCACCAGTAGTAGAATGAATTGATGAACACTAGAATATATACAGCAAGAAAAAGAAATGTACTCAGTACATTATAAAAATAAAAAAGAACCAAGAGGCAAAAGACTCATTCACCATAGACACCATAACTCATTCATACAACATTAAAAGCTGGCAAACTAACTTGTTCAGGTAAACCTACATAAATAGAAGAATTATAATGAAAAATAAGAAACAATTATTATAAGTTAAGCAGGGCTTTCCTCTGATTGGGACAATGAGATGGCAAGAATATCATCAGGAAAATTCCCATAAGGGACATTCATAGATTTTGGTTATTTTAAATTTATTTACACTAAAGTGTGCAGGTACACCTACATATACATGTATTTCTGTGCTTTGACTTCCACATATTATTTTTCCTAGTAAAAGATTAAAAAATGAAAAATCCACTAGATTTTGTACAAATAATGTCATGTCAACAGTGCTGCTTTAAAAAAAAATTATAGTAACAGTTGAGATTTCAATTTTAGATATACCTAACCAAAAAAGTATTCAATTGAGATTTTATTTGAAATAAAACCCTTTCAAAAAGAAAGTGCAGTCAGTTAGCAGGTCATGAGAGATTCAAATGACTATCTAATTGTTAATAATGAAATATTATTTAGGTATTTCCAAGGATAAATGTAAAATTCTAGTATTAAGAGTAAAGGCATTCAATGTCTTCAGTCACCACTTGAGCACGTCCTACACCATCAATCTGAAAGAAAAGACAAGGTCACGTAGACACGGTGCCTTACCAGCTGGCTGTGTCTGTGCTGTTCTCTTAGGGTAAGTCTTGCTTCGACTTCTTGCCACATTCTGATCAGGCCGGGGAAGCTGGATGGACAGATCTCGACTCATCTGCAAAGCTGTCCTGCCACTTGAAAATGAACATTTTTGATTAGTTCAAAAACACACAGAGACAAAATTCAACAACAGCTCTTTCAGACTATCCACAAAGTAGAAAAACACACAACTCAATTGGTCACAAGAAAGGGTTTAATTAAAAGCGGATTAAGGTGATTTAAGCAGAAGGTGATTTAAGCAGAGGCTAAAAACAAAGTTTGCTAAGAGCCAGCCAAATAGCTCAGCAGATTAAAGTACCTGCAAGCAGGCACAGGGACCCAGGGTTTGATCCACCCCCGGGGCTGCGCTGAGATGTTGAGACTGGGCGTGGTGGTGCGCCCTTAATCCTAGCTCTTGGGAGGCTGTAAAGAGGCAGATTACTACAAGTCTGATCTAGTAGTGAGACCCTGAACACCCTGTAGGCCCTTCCCTAAAATCAAAAAACAAAACAACAACAAAAAAAAAACTAAAAAAATTAAGTTTGCTGATAATCTTGAGCTCTACAACTAAATGATAAAGAAGTCGAGAGGGGTCGAATGACACATGGCAATGCCTCCACATGATGGTCCACGTATGTACTGTAGAGCATAAAGCATTCCCTTCAGAACCACTCAGGGTGATGCTATCCTAAACCCTGCCACGGCACAGTCATTTATCCTTGCCTCCTCATCCAGCAGCCCACCCACCAGGAAGATCAAAAGCAGTCCTAGAGCTTCCTCTGGGCTGGGCTAAAATTTTTAAGCAATTTTCCCAAGAAATTTTCTAAGTTCATTTGCTGGATTTCAGTCAACACTTATCTTACAAAAATTTATATCACAACTGCTGAATCTGAGCCAGCGAAAGACCTGGCTTTCATGAAGGAGAGTGTCACTGAGGTACAGGAAAAATGCATTTCTATTGGTCTACTTTGTTCCACTACAAGCCGAACCACCTATGAGAAAAAACAAAGCCTTCTAATGGCCCCAAATCTGATTCATCCTACATTTACAGAATAATTATTGGCGCACATCCTCCCAAACAAGATTAGATACAACACACAATTAATCTCTTATGTTTCTACGAATCCTTCCTCTCCTCACTATCCACTTTTATTTTTAAAAGATTCTGGAACATTCTGTAAAAGAAGAATTCCTTGTGATGAAGGACACTGCTTAAGATAAGGTACCCTGAACATATAGGCGGCAAGTCCCTTCATGGGAGTAATTCACATTCAATAGTTTCCAGAAATTGGAAGGCTCAGAACAAGACGTGACAAGGTTTCTTTCACTTGAAACTTCATTATATTTTCAAAGACATAGAATGTAACATACATTCCTGAAAAGCTAAAAATCATTCCATAGAAAGAACAAAATTCCATTAGAATAAAGGGTTTGGGAGATGAAGATAACATCTACTGACATTAGAATTTCTCTCTTATCAGAAAGACTCGGGCCCTGTGCACTTCCCTACACAAAGGAAGAAGTATTTGCTGTTAAAATATAACTCAATAGGCAGGCCACTGAAACATTTTATAATGAGATTGTAAGGTGTTATTCAATTTTCCCTCATGGTTTCTCTCAGGAACAAAGGAGAAATGAGAAAAATCACAACACCAGATTAATAAGGCTAATGTCCAGAAACAGAAACTGATCTGCTACAGATGGTACAGGACCACAGGCTAGCTTTCTGAGACTCAGCTGGTCAGGGTGGCACGGGACGGTGGACAACACTCAGTCCTGGGTTTTAAAGTAACAAGCCCTGTTAAAAACATAGTTTTGCCTTTCCTTAGCTGTGAGGTCTTCAGCAATTTGATTTAAAAAAAAAAAAAAAATCCACAAATTCAGTTTCTTCATTTATATTATACTTCTACTTATTTTATTTCTGATACAGCATTCTGTTTCCTTGTAACAGAAAGCAATGGACAGACACATAGAAGCTACCAATGAGAGCTGCCAGGAGCCCAGCTACACCTCTGATGGCTCTCCATTGTGAAATGAGAAAGTTCTAGTTCCACTTCCTGCCTCCTGAAAGCTCTAGCACAAAACCCCCTTCTATGACAGTGACAATGGCAACAGCCCTTCAGAATCAAAGTCAGGAAGAAGGTAAAGAACCAGATTTAAATCCCAGATTTGCCATTTTTAAAAAATTATTCTGGGGGGCCTCCAAACTCACATCTCTATACTTGGGGATACGATGCCTCTTTTAGCAGCCACTGTGAAGATCAAATAAAACAGCACATGTGCAAGCACCTAGTACGAAAGTGATTCTCATGAGAACTTGGTCTCGCTTCCACACTTCAGGAAATAAATGCAAGCTCCCACGAGAGCACCTTTGGTTAGGTCCAAGGAAGATGTCTCGGCTCCAAGGGGTGGGAGTAGGTTTTTCAGGCAATAATTATTCTTATCTCTGGAGTATACATTTCACACAACTCCTCCATTTTTTTAAACCAAAATCTCTTACAAGCAACAGGCATGGGTAAGGTCACTTTTTAAGGGACTCAAAAGAAAGAGCATGTATATTAAGAGATTTAATCAGCCAAAGATTTAATCAAGCTCCCTTTCAGATTATTGGTCTCTGATTTACTTACACACACACACACACACACACACACACACACCTTAGAATGTTGGGCTTCAGCTCAACCTTTCCTTCCCAACTTAACCTTAAAATGTGCTTCTCTGGTATCATTTCGCAAACCTTAAAATGCAGAAGGGAGTGAAGAGTAGAAGAGTGCCTTCCTCCACCACATTCATGTACACTCACAACCACAAAAGGTTCATATATAGCACACACGCACGTAGACACACTGTAGTTACACGGTATGCTGCACTTTTCCCTCATGCTCTAAAAGTCTATAGGATAAGCTGGGGTGCTGTCTATTTTTGATAGCTCTGCTTTTATTCCAAGACATCTCTAGACTGTCTCATGAAAAAGACAGGAGGGCCATCAGGATAGCTCAGCAGCAGGGGCCAGGGTTCGATCCCTGGCATCACATGCGGTACTGGCCCTGCGCCCCAGGCGCTGAGCAGGCAATGTAGTCTGGGCATAGTGGCACACACCTGTAACCCCAGCACTAGGGAGGCTGAAAACAGGAGAATCACTGTGAGTCCAAGCTGTGTAGTGAGACCCTGCACACACACACACACGCACACACGCATGCACGCACACACACAAAGAACTAAAAAGATAGGCACATGATGTTGGTTTCGGGCTATTTGTTTGCCACCTTTTGACAATACACAGTCTATGCCTTTCATGACTACCCAGTAATCAGAGACCTAAGTTCTTCAAGGGCAGTGTAGAGTTAGTGCTCCCCGCATTCAGATGCGTCGATTCAGATGTACAGGTTTCATTAAGATTTACTAGGCAGTTAACATTAGCCACAAAATTAGAACAGATTTAGCAGAGACTCCAATTCTGCAAAGGCTACCTTTAATTAGTTTCTTGGAAGAAATGATATTTAATATGCAAAATACAATAACGGTCTAATAACAATTCCCAGTAGCCACAACATTTGTGTTTCAATAAATCTGAGAAATCAGGTATGGTTAAATCTGTGGAATTCAACTATAGCACATGTTAAACAGCATAATTATAAATTTAACAGTATAAAACTAAGACAGATGATTTTTACTGGCTCCTTTCAGTGATAAGGAGATAGCTCTATACATTTTCTTCATAACCCCAGCAGTGTTTTACACCACAAGGGAAAGAACAACCCCAATACTAGCTATTTGCTTCTTAATACGAAAGCAAATAATCTTTCCTTACATTCCTCGCTATATCACTAAGGAAGCATCCTGAAAACCTGAAGGTTAACTATTCAAACATCGGCAAATACCGATGTTTGAATACAAAAGCATCGGTACATACAAAAGCCAAGGATATCTATAATATGATAACAATTAAGTTTTCCTTTAATCACCAAATGAAGAAACATTCCACTGAATAACACGTACAGATGAATTCACTGAACATTTAATATTAATCCCTTTTTTATTGATCTGTCTTTCATCTCATTTGAGAGTCAAAGAGGTTTTTATTAAAAAAGACAAATTCAAATCTGGCACGCTGCTAGCCTGTATACGCTTGACTCAATGTTTAAGTCTCTTGCGGAAGCATTTCATTCAGCGATGTCCCCAAAGGAATGGACAAAGCAGCATCCCGTCCCTCGAGAGGCATTTCTGCACCCAGCTTGTGTTTCCAGGACCCGAGGGCCTGCCTCACACACCGAATGACACTGTACTCTTTGAAGGTGGAGACGGCCAGAGCTCACTCATGTCTCCGGGCTCCTCATACCACACCTTGCATGTTGCATGTCTCTCCCTGAGCAGAATGAATTCAAATAAAAATTTTTTTTCTCAAAATACAGCATTCACTCCTACTTGTAACGGAAACAGACACTAGCATCAGCCCACCTACATGACAGCCAGGTTTTTTTCCCAAATAGTTAGCTGTCTAAGGGCTAAAAGTGTGGGCGGTTGCATCAAACCACAGGAGTATGGACTCCACTCCACTGCTTCATAGCCGGTTACCTTGAAAAGTGACTGGGGCTCTCTGAGCCTCAGTTCCCTCATACATTAATGGGCATAGCATTACTGAACACTAGGAGATGAAATAGGACAAAACTGGAAAATATTTAGCAAAATAATGGCTTTTAGTGACTGCTCAATAAAATAAAAGGGCTGGGAGATAGCTCAGGGCCATAAGCAAGGTTCTGAGTTCAATTCCTTTAAGTAATTAATTAATTCAAAATTAATTCAAAATATGATTATCAATACAATATAAAAGGTGTATCCATATCTGTATAGTAATTCTGTGGTGCACAGTATGTACAGTGTCACACAGGAGGTCAACTAAATGTTCTAAGGACACAATCAGCTACTATGCAGAATATCTGTTTATAATCACAGAATATAACCAGAAACTGTAATTGTATCAAATGAAATTCTGAAAGCAACAAACCCTACTCTGTTCTAAGATTTCTACACTTAACTAAGCTAATGCAGTCATTCATAAAGTTAAATCTGAAAAATCCAGAAAGAAAGCTTCAATAAACCTTTATGCTTACAGAAGACATACATGGAGGGACAAAAAGCTAAAATCACATATTTTATTATGCATGTATGGGGGCCGCTGAGTTAAACGTGTATTTACATGTACACACCCTATGGAAAAAATGTCACTTACCTATATCGGTGCTTATAACTTAGGGATCCAAACTTGCTGAGTTTCCTTGACAATGAATTTGATTCCGTTTCTGGCATCCTAATTGATTTTCAAAAGAAAAGTAAAGACTCACAAGCAGATATTCACACAGCATTTTGCGTACAGTTATATAGAAAACATAACACTGCAGCACTGTTTCACAGGAGCACTCGGTAGTTTCTGGCATCCTATCATATTACTAACACCTTGGGACACGACATCTCCTTGCTGCACCTTCTCACGTGCTTCCTCTGGCTCTTCTTATCCTCCAAATGCAAGGGGTGTCCAGAGCTCAGTTTTTGGCTTTCTGGTTTGTGTCATTCTGCGTCTTTCCTACAGATAATTTCATCCAGCCCCTCTGTCTTAAACTCCTACTAAAGTTCCACCACTCACCTTCATCTTTCCAGTGAGCCCTGTACGACCAACACGTCTTACTAGAGCCTCACTTAGCTGACGCGCAGGCATTTCAAATTTAATATGTCCACAAAAGAACACTTAATTTCTTAAAATACTACACAGATATAAAGGCCACATTTTTTACATAAAACTAACAGGAATTACCTCAGCATTTCCTGGACATGAGCAAAAATGGTGCATTTGCATGTGTGTGTATGTGTACATATATATGTACATGTGCATGTATATGCACATGTGTGTATATCTATATTAATACAGTTCAGACAACTGAAGCAATACAAATAAAAAGAAAATACATCTAAATTCTTGCTTGTAGATAGAACAGATTCTTGTTATAAAAACAAATGCCCTTTTCACATGTTAAAACAATGAACAAAATTACCCCAATAACACACCTAAAAAATGTATGATGCTCTACACTGCATTTCCAAAGGTGCTTGCAAGCAGTTTTGCTTCGAGCTTCAAAAAAGAATGAAGTTTCATTGCACTGAAAAAGACAGGAGAGAAGGATAAACCATAGATCTGGACATTCTTCAGTTAGGTAACAGAAATTAAAGAAAACAGAAAGGTTATTAACATATAAAACAAAAAAATAAGTATTTCTCAATAACTATTTTTGGATGGTAGCATTAAAATTGCTTTCTAACAATTAAAATCACAAAACATAAGTTCTGTTTAAATTTTTACTCAACTTTATTATCTACTTTGCTCCCTGAGTGTAAAAAATCCAATAAATGGCAAAAATTGCCTACCATAAATGGCTATTGATACATGAAAAATACTTGGTTCTGTGAATATCAGTCCCCCAAAAAGGAGATGGTGGGGCCAGGGAGATTGCTCAGTGGCTTAAAGTTCTGCCTGGCAAGCACAAGGTCCCAAGTTTGATCCCCAGCACTGGAAAAAAAAAAAGAGAGATGGTTGTACATTCAGTCCTTAAGGGCACTACTTCCAGGGATGTACAGGTCCAATTTAAACTGACGTCTTTGACTCTCGGGAGAAACCACAGAGAGTGACCACCACTGTGGTATCATTCTGGCAAATAAGTAACAACTCTAATTCTGAGTGTATCTATTCTGCAGTGTTATTGGGTAAATTAAACTACTCAATATAATATTTTGTAAAAATCACATTATAGGTATGCATTAAATTTTAGGTATTATTTTAATTTAGTAGCTTTTCATTCTTTACTATATTTAATACATAAGAAACTAAGCAGGGGCCAGGGAGATGGCTCAGTAGAATAAGCGCTTGCCTGGCATGCACAAGGGCCTGAATTCAATCCCCGGTTCCACCAAAAAAAAAGAAACTAAGAACACATTAACAGTAATCCTAATTTTGCACAAGATACTACCTGTGGCAGTAAAAAAGAACAAAATACAATGAGCGCTACAGTAATAAACCAGAAGTTCTGTGAAGTTATATAATTGCTAATATGGTTTCAAATTTAAAAACCAAACTCAAGTCTCAAGTAACGGCTCTGGAATGAGGATCCAATGGATTCATGAACACAAAATGGTCAGGAAAGAGGAACAATTGAATTGACTTGTCCCCCACTTTTAACAAGGGCAGGAAATTTATATGCAAGAAATTCCTCCCAACTCCAAATAGAATCATACTGCTTAACGTGGGAGTTTATTTGTACAATGAAAGGACATGATGGGAATAAAGCCAACAGACTTGTGTAAGGGCAAGGAGACAACCATTCCCAGACCTTCTGGGACGGAGCTTTAGGTATCATAGGATCATCAGGCTTTGGACGTAGGTGCTACTAGTAAAATATAGTAAGCAAAAAAATTGGGACTCTGGATGGTGAGGAAATGGACAGTAAGTTCAGGTTAGGCTATTTTTTTAAATTGAATATTTTATTAACATGGTAGTTGTAACATGTGCACACACACTCACACACTTAGAATGATCTGCCTGGAGAAAAGACTAATCATGCCTAAGGGGAAAATGAAAAACAAAGTTTTCTATAGGTTTTCATTATTGTATGCAATTACATTCACATCACTTATGAAGCTATTGCCAAGTTTTTCCAAGGAAGCAGTGTAGGGAGGGAGGTCATCTTCGGAAACACTCAGCAGCGACCTAGCAGAGCTCTCAACATGAGAAAAGTGACATAATGTGGACTTTTGCTATGAGCTTTTCTTTTGTAAAATATGGGAAAAGGTTTATAAATGGACAGAAAATAAGAGAAGGTGGTATGAAGGATATTTTGATTTTGAGATCCCCGTGGAAAGCGGGACAGTGAGCATTCAGATCTGATTTCAGGGGAGAGGTCACAGTTATGGACAGGCCATCTCCCTGGAGAGCAAACAAGACAGCTCAGGACGAGAGCGCAGAATATTAATGGTAGCATCACGGGAAAGATGCTTGGGAAGGTGTAGCAAGGGAGTCCAAGTGAACCGGGAGACAATGGTGTCAGGCTAGGTGACAGAGCACAAGGCTCAAGTGACCCAGAAAGGTCAAACTGAGTTTGAAAGGAGGTTACCACATTTCACGGAGAGAATTCTTTGATGACTTCTGTGAGAAGAAGTGGGCCTCACACAATAGAGATGAGGAAGAAAAGTCATTGAATTCTGAAAGTGTTTTCCTTTTAGAAAAAGAAACTAGGGGCCAGGGTGGGTGCAGAACACTGGGATGGGTACACAGGACACCACAGAACTTTCTTGGGGACAGGGTGGGAAAGCACAGGCCCTTGTCTGGAGGTGACAGGAATTTCTTTTTAGAAAATATGGAGCATTGATACCCGGCACCACATGCTACACAGGCCCCACCCCTGGGTGCACTGAGTTGGCCACCAAGACTGGGCGTGGTAGTGCATGCCTGTAATCCCAGCACTGGGGAGGCTGAAAGCAGGAGGATCACTAGAGTCTAAGCTGCATAGTGAGACCCTGTACCAAATACATAAAAAAGAAAATATGGAGCATATACAGAAGTCAAAAGTTACCTAGGTGGGCTCACAATGACAACTCGGTCTCACTCCTACAATTGTCCCCAACTACCTACCCCAAAGGCTACCAGTATTTCTATCACAGAGTAATTATCCTAAAATATAACACACAGGTCATTAATCTTAAAATAAGTTTTCTCACAACTGAATTTTGTCAGATAAGTTGTTAAGACAAAGGGAGCCAGAGCAGGCTGCGCCACCTCCCGCTTTCTCAGCACATGCAGCAGGCCCTGGCCAAGTCCCTGGGCCTTAACAGTGGAACCCCTGAGCATAACAGGACATACAGAGCACCAATACCTACAGGGTGATCAGGGACAACCTGTCTGTGACACAAAGACACTTCCACAATTTAAGAAAAACATCAATTAGTAAGGTATACTAGGGCCAGCCACATAGCTCAGCAGATTCAGGGCCTGCAAGCCGGCGCAGGGGCTGGGGGCTCAATCTCCAGACCTGCCATGCTGGACCCGTCCCTGGGGCGCCCTGTGACAGCAATTGAGACTGGGCATGGTGCCACAGCCTGTAATCCCAGCTCTTGGGAGGCTGTAAACAGGCAGATCACTACAAGTCCAATCTAGTAGTGAGACCCTGAACACCCTATAGACCCTTCCCTAAATTTTTTTTTAAAAAGACAACATATATTGTAAATTCCAAAAAGTAAAAAGAAATTAAGGAGTATTCAGGCTTAAAAATAAAATATTTTCTTCCTTAAATCTCAAACTTTTCTTAGGCTGTTTTTCCTTTTGACCTTCACATTAGTGTCTCTATTGTTTTATTTTTCAACTAGACACCTAGTCACAGGGTATCTAAGTCTTAATATGCTTTGTAACTACCATCATGTCATGAAATGATAAAAGGCTGGTTTAAATCCAACCAGAATTGAATTTTCCTCAGGTTTATTAAAAGAACAAAAGTCTCCCCCAACAGGCCTCCCAATTATTTCTGCCACGCGAGCGTGAACTCATTCCGCATTTACAGAGAGCTTTAAAACAAGCTGCCCATCTTTTATCCCACTATTGGCAAAATTATCTAAATACTAAAAGAAGGGGAACATAACTAAAATGGGAGCCAGGTACTCTGAATAAATTCTGTGTACCTTTGCCACACACAGGAACTGCCGGCACGAGCGGGCTGGATGGTATTTCAAATGCCTTTTTCCACCACTCTCCTACTTATTAAACCTTTTCCAAATAGCTACGGCCAATTAGTGCATTTCCCCTCCTTCACACAAAGATGAGCAGTCGTTTCATTAAAGAAGTTCATTCCGAATTAATGCGGAAACAGCTTCTCCAATGCTTGCTTTCGCAAGATCACTCAAACCTCTTTACAGCTTTGGTCACTTCAAGCCAGAAGGAAAGCTACGGTCTGAATCTATTTCTTTGATATTTTATAAACTCTCTGGATTATTGTCCTTTATTTTACAAACACATCAAGCTTAAGTCACTTGCACACTAGATGCCAGTGTATTTAACTGTCGTTTGGGTCTCTGCACAAAACAGCCTCACATCCTGAACCCCTTCATTTGCAAGAACTCAGGGCCTATGCCATGCTGACAGATTTGCAAATCTCTCTGTTTTCCTTGGGCTCTTAACGCATCTCTCCTGGTGAGCTTAAAGAAACAAATCTACTCTGCTCAGCTCCCGTATGTACTGAGGTTAGTGGGAGAGTCACTGAAGAGCTCACTCACAGCAGGCAGCAGACCCTCTTAGTCCAGCTTCACCGCCCACCCAACCTGTGTTTTTGATAAAATTCTCCCTGCCACACACGGCCTGTACTGGTTTCTCTGTATATCTGTTTTGGAAAACAGCCCCAGCTTGATGGTCTGGCTTCCTCAGGTTCCAGAGAATTACGGCAACAAACATCTTCTCAATCCTATTATTAGACACGTATATCGCATCCAAGGTCAACAGAAATAACCCAGGTATGCGGTAGGTCAATACTTAGGAGGAAAAGAGATCAGTGCTTCTAACAATGGTTAAGATGCAATCATTACATAAATACCTAAGGGCCTGGGGGGGTGGGGAGGACACTTCCTACCAGTGCTCCACTGAGGTGGAGGAGGACAAAGACAAGGGGAGGGTTACAAGTATAAAGAAGCCTAAAGTACTGTGAGACTTTGCACCCCTTTTTTAACAGTCTAGGAGAGATGGATGGATGGATGGATGGATGGATGGATGGATGGATAGATGGATGGATAGATGGGTGGGTGGGTGGATGGATGGATGGATGGATAGATACAGTAAGCCAGACACACACACACATTCTTGGTAATCACTACTTCACACACAAAGGAAAAATCAGTCAGAGGCCTAATAATAAATGACTGGAATAATTTTCTTCTTAATTACTGCTGAAGTAAAAGAAGGCAGTGGTGAAAAAGTGAAAAAAAATATGTATCCTTCAGCTGGAAATAAACACAAAAGAGATATAAAATTTTTTAAATGTTTATCTTTCTAGTGAAATTGAATAATTAAGTTGTAAAATCTGTGTCTTACTCATATATAAGACAGTGAGAGGGCCAGTCAAATAGCTCA